TGCAGCTGCATTACCTGTTGTTGTAGCTGTTGCACCAACAGTGATGTCTCACTCTGAGGCTGTTGTACCTGCTGGTTTCCCCTTGATCTCTCATTTTGTCGACCTTGGCGTCTTGGACGCTGGGCCCTGTTTTGGCTCACTTGCGTCCTTTGGCGAGCTGTTCGTCTCCGTCCACGCACAACATTCGCGTCATCATCTTGGTCATCGGCCTCCTCCTCACCTTCCTCAGGGACAACCTCAACCTGTAACCTGAACCTCTGTCGACGCCTTAACCTTCGTGTGGCGACTGGATCGGTACCATTAGGCGGACTCTCGAGACGGACTACTGACCAAAACTGAGACATAGGGTTGGCTGAAGTACTCAAAATACCCTGTTCCGTTTGTGGTTCACCTTGCCCTTCATTCAAAGTCGTTGTCACATTGGTCGCTGCCACTGTACTGCTTGGAACATCACCTTCCGTGGCTTGGTTCTCAACAGTTTCAGGTTCAATGATGATCCCTCCGCGTCTTTGGGCACCAGATGTGAGCATGCCAGGAATGTCCCCACTAACCATATCTTCACGATGACCATACGGGCCCTCCATTTGCCGCTGAGCATCTCCCATGCTTAGAATCTCATACGTCCCAACACCTCCCGACCCACCTGAAGCATCCAGCTCCTGCTCACCTTCATCTAGTTCTGGTTCATCACAATCACAATCGTCGTCCGACGTGCCCTCCTCCACATCTTCCCCGCCCCCGTTTTCCACCTCCGCACGATCCGCAGTCACATGTGCGCTACCGTTCGCCGTTGCATCGGGCCCATCTGTTACCTGAATGTCTTGCTCTTCCATTTCCCCTCCTTCACTTTCCCCTTCGGAATTATCACGTTCCACGCTCGGACCTTCCTCAATGTCTTCGATTTCAACCACCCACTCAGCAGGTGGGGTTGAACCACGTTCCCTAGCAATGCCTGGAACGTCTCTCTGTCCCCTCTGCTGCTCCCCTCCAGTTTGCACCTCCCTTCCCTGTTCTTGCTCCCCTCCTCTCTGCACCCGCCCCCCCCTCTGTTCCCACCCTCCACTATGGAACTCCCCTCCCCTCTGTTATCCCCCCCCTCTCTGCACCTCTCCGCCCCTTTGCTGCCCCCCTCTTGTCAGCACATCCCCTTCCATCTGCTGGCACCCTCCTATCTGAGCCTCCCCTCCCCTCCGCTGCCCCTTCTCTCTGCACCTCCCCTTCCCTCTGCTCGCCCCCTACTCTCTGCCCCTCCCCTCTCCTCTGCTGGGTCTCTCCACTCTGCACCTCCCCTCCCCTTACCCTATGGTGCTCCCCTCCCATTTGTTCCTCCCTTCCCCTCTGCTGCTCCCCTCCTCTGTGCTGCTCCCCTCCTCTGTGCTGCTCCCCTCCTCTGTGCTGCTCCCCTCCTCTGTGCTGCTCCCCTCCTCTATGTTGCTCCCCTCCTCTGTGCTGCTCCCCTCCTCTGTCCTGCTCCCCTCCTCTGTGCTCCTCCCCTCTTCTCTGCTGCTCCCCTTCTCTTTGCTGCTGCCCCTCTCTCTGATGCTCCCCTCCCCTTTGTTGTTCTCCTCTTCTCCCTCCACCCCCCTCGATGCTGTCCACGTTGACAATCATCCCGCAGCCTGTGTCGACGGCCACATGCAATACACGCTTGATAACTTCCTCCAACACGTGGAACCACACTTGTTTGCAGCGTGATATGATCTTCTACTGACCTATTGGCCCAAAGTGCTCTTGCCTCTTCGCGTTCTTCGCATGTTCGACTGTTGTGCCCCTTAACCTTACACCTACCACATTTTCGCAGTTTTTCAGGGTTGATCTCGCCTCTTGAGCGGATGCGCTTTGTTTTCCTCCGCCCTGGCCTTTTCTTGTACTTTGGAGGGAGCGTAATTCTGTCCGGAATGCACGACGAAGGATCCACCGGAACCAACTCCTCTGAATACATTGCCTTCAGCGTCTCCACCTTGTAGACGCGGTGAACCATGTCAAACGGCAGCCGACCCTCTCCGGAAGCAGCACAGATGTGGACACAGGGAAGCCCGTACTCCCTGTTGTGTTGAAGAGTGTGTGAATGGCATTGTTAATGAACACTATGCATGTGTAGATGCAGCAACTGACATTACCAGATAAAAAACATACACTATGTTGATGAACGTTAGAAGATTAGTGACGGCAATACTTGTGCACATACAATGTGCGTACCTGCTGTAGTTGCACGTGCACGTCTTGGCTTGCAAGTCCACAATTCGCTCTTCATTACGCTCCTCATGCTCGACCAGCCAGCGGTGTGACGCTTGATTAAGCTGGCGCACAGAGTAGCTAGAAGAATCATTGAAGTTGCCTCGCACAACCTCAGTGGCAGTTGTGCACCACTCCCCCACGGTGTTGGAGTATGCCGTAAGCGGATCACTCCGAATGAGAGCAAGTTTCAGCGCCCAACGCAAAATGACATAGCCAATTGCCTTGTTTCGCAGCTGTGACATTGAGGCATGCTGCGACTCAACAGGATTTGACGTGAGGCAACCAAACCGAGCACCAGGAAACTTTGCAGTTGCCCATCGCGTGGCCAGCTGGCCGTCTTCCCCTTCCAAATATAATCGGCCACCGGGACATTGCTCATTGAGCTTGTTCATACGAAACTCATACAGTTGCTCCGTCAATGTCTCTGAGGCGTCTCGGATGAGCTGGCTCAAGTCCATGCCGAACTTGGCCCTGAAATTGCGTGTCAGGTGTGTCACGCAATAAGAGACACGTGCATTGGGGAGCACGTCTCGACATGCAGCATCCCATCCTTTTGCACGGTCGTGTTTCACTGTCCATGCCGGTGTGTTCAGCTCTGGGAAGACACGAAGTAGCTCCTTCAATGGTAAAGAGCAGCCCTCTTTACTCTCAGACTCAACAAAAGCAATGCCAACTGACACGTAGTGACCCTCTCCGTCAAGCACTACCAGATTGATAGTGTGACCTCCCCACACTGTCTTATTGTGGCAGCCATCCACAATCAAGATAGGTATGGCGTTTAGCATGGTGGATCTCGCCACACTCGGAATCACAGAGGCACTAAAAAACCGACCTGCATGCTTGCTAAGGGTAACCAAAGTTCCAGGGTTGTTATCCACTAGTCTCTCTATGATGCTCTTGACAAACTGATATGATTTCTCAGTTTGCAAAGGGTCATTCTCCTTCAGGTCGTTCAAGGCACGCCACGCTGTGGCATACGAAGTCTTTGCCCCAAGACGATGCAAGGCTTCATTTTGTAAAACCTTTGGGGTGATGCCAACTGTTGGCAGTGACATTGCTAGTGCGATGAGGCTTTTCCTACGTGCAGGGCGAGGGCGAGCGGTACAACGGGTATGGTGTTCTAAGTGAGTGTTACAAACACGCAGGTCGCCCTCGCTTGTGGCCCGAATGTTAATCTTGAAAGGGCAGCGAATGTCATTCTGGACACTCCCCCTCTGCGACCGCTTAAAAGCAGACGGGCACTTGACATCCAACCTTTTCGGACCATTGACAGCGAAGATGTGTGGCACCTTTGCACGATGGCATTGGTGCTCAATGTCATCTCGAGCCTCAATGGCGTCTCGGTAACGCTTACCGATTTCAAAATCCAATGTGCGTTTACCACCACTAGCCATCTGCAAGAGCATTGGGATGGAAGGAGGGTGGAGGAGGGAATACACACAGGTAAGAAAAAAGAGGAATGCACATACTCAGAGGATGAACGGTCGCACACTGGCGGTCACTCTTTAGTTGCTCATTGATTATGAGTCCATTACCCTAAACAGAAATTTCGAGTTTAAACCATCTGGAGACTTGATCTTTGTTGAATCAACAATCTATCACACCTGATCCTGAATCGTGGCTTCGTTAAGTTGATGCCAGCGGCCTAACGTGCCGGCATTACTGAGTCACGAGACGGTGGGAGTGTCACGTTCCTAGAGAATTTTATTACTAGCTAATTAAGCAAGAAGGAAATTACCATAGACAGTAACGCTGGCGAGTCCTTTATGATAGCGCACCGCAAATGTTGGAAACCAGCTGAGTCAGACTATTAGTAACTGTCATCGTGAACTGTATCAAACTTTGGACTTAGTAGTGTAAGTTCCTGCCATGAGCCTCTAAGGAGGGGTCCCTTACGTGTAAGATCTCGTAACGTAGGATTAGGGTTTCCGTGTTGTGTTCTGGTAACATCAGGGCCCAGCACTTGTTGGATAGAAGGGAGAAGAGGGTGGGGGAGGGGGGGGTGGGGAAAGGAACTTGCGCGTAGATTTTGCGCATGCATCCCTCCCTTGGGGGTGGCTGCGACTGGTGTGGTTGGACGACGGGTTCGTGCGAGAGCTGGGCCTGTTGGTGTAAGTCGCGTGGGTTGCATCCCCTGACAGAACAGTGTTTTTAGTGGCGGATGGGTACAAACAGTGGCAACAAGGGGAGAATCACGACGCGATAGCATGCACCTGAGAAGCCTTTCCCTACAGTGCGGCATGCACCTGAAAATGGCCGGTCACGACGAGTGCTACAGTGGGCAATTGTGCACACAACACAGCACAGCACAGCACCCATCGATGCGGGAATGGGACACCGAGGCCCAGTTCGGCAGGCATTAAAAAAATGGCCTCGGCGGATGGGCTACAGTGAAACGACCACCCTTGAACCTTCCTTGATAAGCGCGTGAATGATTATCAAGGCTCGATATAAGCGGATCTACGCCGAACCTGACAATAATGGAATGCCTCCCGAACAGCCCTTTTTGTGCAGGCGTTTTCACCAGCTGGAATCTTCCACGAACCCAGTCTCTCGGGCAAAGTGCCCATTTTCTCATCCGCCGCACCATGCGGCCTCGAGGCCCCGCACCATGCGGGGTATCAGTGAATGGGGGCATTAAACAGTGACTGGTCAATTAAGCCAGCCAATCACATGATCACGCGATCCATCACGGAAGCTGCCTACCATCAATCTACACCCAATTAATGCCACCCGAACAATCAAACCATTTTTTCTCTAGGTGCACTGTAGCTACAGTCCCATTTCGGGGCTGTTTCTAGAATTTCACAGGGGCCATTTTTTTGGGGCCCATTAAAAATGCCGATAATGGCCACAATGGCCATAATGCCTACCGAACAGGGCCCGATTTTCTGTTTTGGAGGGAAATACTGCAGGCAGGGTGCTAGGTACAGTTGCTCGAAGGTGCCGTGAGTGGTCAGGTTCGTCACGAGCGGGCTGAACCTGGTAGGGTTTGTTTGTCGCAAACTGGTCCACCTACCAGCAGGGACACTGCCCCGCCCAACCAAAGCTGCAGGGACAAATACACCGGAGGGCCTAAGTTATCAGGGCAATTACCCTGTTTTGACTGAAATTATAGGGTTTATTTTAGAGGAACCCTGTTTTCCACCAGGTGATTTTCGGACCAGCCCGTACAAGTAAAGGGTGATTTTAGAGACAGCTCGGATGGCTCCGGGATGTTCTCGAGGGGACCCGTGTAGTTTTAGCCGCACTTGTTTTCGCCGACCTGCGTTTCCTCCTCTCCCTCTCCATCTAAACGCAAGTGTGGTGGGCTAGTGGAATTTCCTTACCATTCTTTCCTGGTTGGCCTCCAAGTGTCTGATTGTCCTGTTCTCCGTCGCCGTGACTTATAGTACTCCACATCGTATTCTTTCTAAGCCTACCAAAGTCTCTCTCCCACCCCTCTAGAAAAACTTCTTCTGTCCAATCTCCCCAGCCCTCGCGCAACCCACTGTGAGTTTCTCGAGTCCCACACCCCGCGAATTTCTGGTAATACAGGTCTTCAGGCCTTTTCTGGCTCGAACCCGGATTCGTCAAGGCTTTTTTTCCGCTGGCTCGTATTTTACAGGGTCTTTTTCACAGGGGCCCGGATCGTCCGAGCTAGCAAAAATCCTAGCAAAAGCCCTGCACCTGATGCTTGTTTGGGTTCCCCGGGGTTGCCTTTTCTATTGGGATTGTATGTGCTTTTTTGCATTTCGCCAAGGTTCGTCAACATCGCAGCTAATAATAAGGGGCTTATAAAAAAATACAGATTACATGTTGAATCTTTTACGTCGGTCTCCTTTTGTTACCATTGGTTTATCATCACTGCATTGACGGTGAACCAATGATCTCTCTGTGACCATTAGTTCATCATCACAGTATCAAAGTAACTAGGCAAGAATGAATGAACTAGCAGAAGTTTGGGTACAAATATGAAACCCTAGTTGGGGTTGTACCCCATATTGGCTACCCCACTACAGCCTACAAGCATAATACAGTTTAACACACCCCCATAGGCAAAGTGGGGGAGAACAAAGGGTCACAAGACCAGTCCAGCAAAGCAAAGCAAAGCCCAGGGTGGATCACAACGTCACCACACTCCGAGCACAAGTAAAGGCCACAAGGCCAGTTCACATGCAGTGCTAGATATAGTACAAGACAAACAACACAGTGATCAAAACCTAGCAAGCAAGTAACAAGATATATATAAAGTACAGTACAAAGAATGTCAAGCAGTGAGCAAGTGAGGAAACGTGGACACAAGGCCTAAAGAAGTACAGTGCCGCTGATGATCACTAGGCGGGAGCGCCTTGGTGAAGATATCAGCAGTGTTGGCCTTCGAGTCCACGTACACAAGCCGAAGCTGACCGCGCTGCTGAAGCTCTCGAGCAAGAAAGTAGCGAAGAGCAATGTGCTTCGTCCTGTGCTCCAGTCTGTGCTCCTGACACAAGGCAAGAGCCGCCTTGTTGTCACCGTACAGAACTGGAGGAGAACTAGGCCGCTCTCCCAAGTCAGTCAGCAGGTAGGTGAGCCAGCGTAACTCCTGTGCAGCCATGGCTGTGGCGTAGATCTCAGCCTCACAACTAGAGCCGAGAACAGAGGAAGAGCGGGTGGACCGCCACGAGACAGAACCAGAGCCAAGGCTGAAGGTGTAACCCTGTGACGACCGCTGCGTAGCCAGGTCGTCCACCCAAGAAGCGTCCGAGTGGCCAGTGAGGACAACTCTGTCGCGTCCTCCAAGCACCAGCCCCATGCCTGATGTACTGCACAAGTAGCGCAGCACCCTCTTAGCAGCCTCCCAGTGCTCTCGCCTGTGTCTCCCAGGCGCAACGTAACGAGCAAGGATGCTAAGAGGGTACGCGAGGTCAGGTCGCGTGCAAGTCATCAGGTACATGAGGCAGCCCACAAGCTCTGGGTACGGGCCACTCGGCTCTACGGACTCGTCCGGAGGTGGAGCTGAGAGCGAGTGGCGAGGAGCCTGCCCAAGAACCTGCTGAAGGAGCGGTACGAAGTACGGTCGCGGCCGCGCAGCGTCTCCAGAAGCAGAAGAGACTCCAGCGGCCGGGTCCTCAGTACCAGCAGGAGCTCCAACGTCCGGGTCCCCAGCACCAGCAGCAGCGCCACCGCTCGGGTCCTCAGCTCCAGCAGCAGCTCCACCAGGTGGGTCCGCAGCACCAGCAGCAGCGCCACCCCCAGGGTCCGCAGCACCGCTAGGAAGAGTACCCCCAGAGGCGGCAGCTCCAACTCCGCTAGCACCGCCAGCGCCAGAGTCCCCAGCTCCAGCAGCTCCAGTCGTAGTGCTCCCAGAACAACCAGTCCCGGCAGCTCCAGTACCCCCAGGACGAGCAGCTCCAGCACCCCCAACTCCAGCCGAGCCACGAGGACGGCGGAAGCGCCGGACGTACCAGTCACGAAGCTGCTGCGGTGTGAGAGACTGCTCAGCACCCCGAACCGGAGCACCCCCAGACGCAGTAACCCGAGGCTCCGTAGGCTCAGCAGCAGCACCCCCAGGCTCAGTACCCGCAGGCTCAGCACCCCCAGACTCCGCACACGCAGGCTCAGCACCCCCAGTCGCAGCACCCCCAGGCTCAGCACCCCCAGGCGGCAAACTCTCAGGCACAGTACCCCAGCTCCAGCACCCGCAGTCCCAGCACTCCCAGGCCCAGCACCCGCAGGCTCAGCACCCCCAGGCTCAGCACTCCCAGCAGTACCACCTGCAGCAGCACCTGAGTCAACGGTGACCTCGACAGGCTCAGCGACGGGAGGAGGGTCTACCTGAGAGACACCTGAAGGAGCAGGACCCTGAGGGGGAAGGGGGTCTACCGGAGGGGGGCCAGGAGCAAGGAACAGCGGCGGGGGAGGGAGGGGGGCAGTGCGGTAGGGGAAGAGACGGTAAAAAGGGACCGACTCGTCAAAGGTGACATCCTGAGAGGCGAAGACCCGGCGCGAGGTGGGGTGGTAAAACTGCCAGCCAGGCGCGTCAGGGACAAAGCCAAGGAAGACACAGGGAAGCGTGCGGGAGGAGAGCTTGTCCGCGGACGTATCGCGGACAAGGGCACGAGCACCCCACACCCGGAAGCGCGACGCATCGCCAACCTCCCCCGTCCAACGCAGTGTGGGCGAGGTCTCCGGCAAGGAGACACGGGGCCAGAGGTTGAGCTGATGCGCGGCGTACCGGACAGCAAACGGCCACAGAAAATGGGGAGCCGCCGCGTGGACCAAGGAGGTACGAGCGACCTCCATGACCAGGCCAATGCGGCGCTCAGCAACCCCATTCTGCTGTGGGGAGTCCGGAAGCGTGAAGGTCTGCTCAATGCCCTCCGCCTGACAGAAGGTCCTCAAGAGATCGGAGGAGAACTCACCACCTCTGTCAGAGTGCAGACGCAGGACAGGAAGATCCGTCCGGAAACGGCGGCGGAGCTGGAGACGAACTGTGCGGATCCAAGGGATCAGAACAGCAGGGACCTCACCCTTGGTGCGCAAGGGGAAGACCGTGGTGTAACGCGAGTAGTCGTCGACAACCAGCAAAAAATACCGCTCACCGCCCTGACCACGAACGCGGGCTGGGCCCCACACGTCCAGGTGGAGGGTCTGCAAAGGAGCCTCTGTCGGGGGGAACGAGGAGGAGTGAGGAGCGGCGCGCTGCCGCCCCTCGACACAAGGAAGGCAAGGCGGCGCAGGCGAGGCAGGGAGGGGAGGGAGGGACCTGGGAAGACCAGACACAAGGTGGCGACGGTGCATGCCACGAAGGCGTGGCAAGGAGGGGTGACCCAGGCGGTGGTGCCAGAGAAGAGTCTGGTGCGACAGGGAACGACACTCACAGGCGTGGGCTACCAGACCTGACGCAGACACCTGACCGACAGCAGCGACCTGAGGAGACGCAGTGGTCAGTGTGTAGAGACTCGACCCCGGCCGACGGGTAAACGTTGCCAGGTGACGGCCGGTCCTGGAGCACGTGCAGATCGCCACACGCTGTCCTCCAGGGGTAAAGGTGTCAACCCACTGATCCTGGATGACAGCGTTGCTCACCAGGTTCGTCGAGAACGAGGGGAGGTGGAAACCCGTCAACGAGCCAGACGGAACCGCCGGACAAGGGAGCACAGTGGTGGACTGGGCAAGGACTGGGCCCCCAGAGGGGTCAGCCAAGGAGACTGGGACCGGTGCAGGAAGCGGTGTGAGCTCAGTACTGTCACGAAAGAAACAGCGGGAAGCACCTGAGTCAAGGGTGAAGGTGTGACAGGCCTCAGCCGGTGCGGTACCTGAGAGAGCAGTCTCTGTGGGTGCTGTACCTGAGAGAGCAGACTCGCAAACAGCCGGGACAGCACTGGAGGGAGCAGGTACAGGGGGCACCATACCAGAGAGAGCAGACTCACTAGCACCTAGGGCAGCGGGCTCTATACCTGGGTCAGGCGGCACACACAAGTAACAGTCTCCCTCGGCACTAACAGTCAATGCATACATGGCAGCAATAATAGCATCATAGTCAAGAGCAAAGATATCAACACCAGCCCTCATCAGCTCAGCCCAGCGAGGGCGCTCAACATCCTCGCCCATCTCCTCACGCCAAGCGTCGTCAAGGCGGAAGAAGCAGCGGTACTGAGTGTGGAACTTTCCACACGTCTGCCCCTTGCGAGCACCTGTGCGACAACATAGGAACAGCGGCCACTGCCCCCAGACGTCCCACGCTGAGCAAGCCACTCACGAAGCTGCTGGGTCGACTGGGGACGCTGCTGCTGCTGGGAGCTCTGGCCCGAGCCGGTGCCTCCACTCCGACCTCCACCGCCGCCACTACCTCCGCTCCGACCGCCACCACCGCCACCGCCACCGCCACTACCGCCACCGCCGCCACTGCCGCCGCTGCCACCACCGCCACTGCTCCCGCCGCCGCCCCCGCCTCCGCCGCCGGCCCCACTCCCACCGGCACTCCCGCCACCGCTCCCTCCAGCACCGCCTCCCCCCCCACCTCCCCCACCCCCTCCCCCCCCAGCGCCACCCCCGCCACCCTTGCCCCCCTTGCCCTTGCCGGTGCGGCGCCTCCCACCAGGAGCAGAAGCAGCGCCAGCAGACTCAGCACCAAGGAAGTCAACAGCAGCAGCAGTAGCATAGGAGGGAGCGAGGGGAGAGGGAGAGCACCCCTCAAAGATGGGGGTGCGAGGAGCGCCGCGAGCAGCACCAACAGCCACAATGCTCTTCTCGGCTGCTAGCAGCTTCTCCTCTAGGAGGGCGACAGTGAGCTCAGTGGGACAGCGAGCAAGGAAATAGTCGCGCACTGAGCTGAGGGTGTCAGGGAGACGGGTGACTATGAAGTGGAGTGCCCAGTACAGGGGAGGGGGGTTCTTAGCGCAGAACTCGGTGGGAAGGGCGGCACGCAGGCGAGCATCACTAGTGCGAAGGTGGGTGATAAGATCGGCGACTGTAGCAAAGGTGGACAGGTCAGGGAACAGGTAAGGCAGCATGAGACGGCTAAGCTCGGCTGTGGCAGGCGAGGAGTAGCGAGCAACGACAGCGTCATATAGGGCCTTAGCGGTTTTGCAGTCGCCAAAGTGCTCTAGCTCAGCGAACGGCAGGTGACTGCGAATAGCCAGGCGAGCTGCAGCATCACGAGTCTGCCACTGAGAACGTACACTAAGCTCGGCTGTGGCAGCAGGAGCAGCGGCAGCACCAGACGCGTAGTCATAGAGGGAGATGTGGTCCGTGCTATTGCTCATAAGATACAACTGCAGGTCATCGAGCCAGGAAGTGAACTGCACGGGACGGCCCTCAGCATCGAAGGAAAGAACGCGAATAGAGGCCATAGCTCAGGCGTGAGGGCACAGCAGAGCAGCGGCAGCAGCAGAGGGGACGCGCTAGAGCGAAGCTAGCAGCCACAGCAGGAGCAAGCGGCGGGCGGGCTGCGAAGCGGGCAGCGGGGCGGGCGGGCGACGCGGCGAGCGGGCAGCGCGGCGGGCGGCTGCGAAGCGGGCAGCGGGCGGGCGGGCGACGCTGCAAGCGGGCAGCGGGCGGGCGGGCGACGCTGCAAGCGGGCAGCGAGGCGGGAGGGCGACGTTGCGAGCGGGCAGCGGGCGGGCGGGCGACGCTGCGAGCGGGCAGCGAGCGAGCGGGCGACGCTGCGAAGCGGGCAGCGGGCGGGCGGGCGACGCTGCGAAGCAGGTAGCGGGCGGGCGGGCGGCGCTGCGAGCGGGCAGCGAAGCGGGCGGGCCGCGAAGCGGGCAGCGAGCGGGCGGGCGGGCCGCGAGGCGGGCAACGGGGCGAGCGGGCTGTGAAGCGGGCGGGCCGCGAAGTGGGCAGCGAGCGGGCGGGCGGGCCGCGAAGCGGGCAGCGGGGCGAGCGGGCTGCGAAGCGGGCAGCGGGGCGAGCGGGCGACGCTGCGAGCAGGCAGCGCGGCGGGCGGGCGACTCTGCGAGGGGCGCGCGAGGGCGCTAGCGAGGGGCGCGCGAGGGCGCTAGCAAGGGGCGCGCGAGGGCGCTAACGAGGGGCGCGCGAGGGCGCTAACGAGGGTGCGCGAGGGCGCTAACGAGGGGCGCGCGAGGGCGCTAACGAGGGGCGCGCGAGGGCGCTAACGAGGGCGCACGAGGGCGCTACGAGGCTAGGGCACGGGGTAGCGTGGTAACCGCATGCGAGCGGTGGTGGGCCCTTAAAAAAAAACGGTCGGTAGGTCCTAGGGACCTCCTGCTCTGAATACCATATCAAAGTAACTAGGCAAGAATGAATGAACTAGCAGAAGTTTGGGTACAAATATGAAACCCTAGTTGGGGTTGTACCCCATATTGGCTACCCCACTACAGCCTACAAGCATAATACAGTTTAACACACAGCAACTTGCTCCGAGAGCATGTAAATTGGGTGCAACTGACCGGCACCAAAAGCTCGAATGCATACTTTCCATCAGATGTAGGGCAAATTCACATGCAATGGTTGAGCATCAGCTGTACACTGTGCAGAGATACACTTGACAACGGTAGTGAGCTAGACTACGGGGGTTGGCACGAACTACTAGGAGTGATCGTAGCTTAGTTTGGTTCCTTAGCACTTGCGCATTCACGGGAGAGATTGGCAAGAGTTTCCACTAGCAAAGTTGGAATTACAGATTGGTTGAACAAGCAATGACAGAATGACTACATCAGGCACCTAGCAACTCTGCAGCTAGCCTGGTCGACTGCCAGCACTGCATGGTCGACCGCCTGCCAGCGTTGCGTAGAGGAGCCGCGCCAGCACTGCAGAAGAGCGACCTGCCAACACTG